GATCCCAATTCAAATTTCCGTTTTAATCAGTTCCTCCTATTGATTCCCTGTTTAGGACACGCGCATTCTTTACATGCGTACCACACGCCGCTTGTCATGGGATGACACTAACGTGTCACATTGAGATTACATGATAACCGCCGCTTGAACATTATCTGCAGATGTTTCAAAATTCCAAATTTTACCATTCCATGACTGCTTAAGCCGGTGTTAGTGGGCTTGGACGGTTACTTGCGCTTTCCATTAACATGAACAGGCTCAATCAAACCGATCCTACAACACTTTGAAATTTGTCATTTTGTGCCTTCTTTCATGATTCTTTATTTCCTTCTATTTTATTTGCACAACACTTTAAAAATTTTCATTTTTGTGCGTTCTTTCGGGATTCTTTATTTCCCTCAATTTTATTTGCACATTGTTATCTTTCAAGGGGAGACGATGCTATTATAATGATTTTATAATGATTATTGTGTACAATGAAATTATAAAATTATAAATTTGTTTAACGTTTTGTATAAATTCTATGAATGACATGCATCGATAAATTGAAATTAACTTGTATTGTAAAATCTTTAAAAAGTCACTTTCTGCTTTATAAATACAGTATTCGGCACTAAATGACCAATAGTTTTTCAAATAAATTAACAAAATATTAAAAAAAAACAAAAACAAATTTAAGAAATGAAACCTTCAAAATCAAAAAACATTTTCAAATGTGTTCATACAACCTTCAATTTGACACATTCGTGCCAGTGCATGTATAAGCCCTGTATGACCACTAAGTAAAAGAATGCATTTCGCATAAAAGAGAAAACAATGGGTGGGTCTTTTTGTGTTTAAATAATGAGTTCTTCTTAAGTCGGTACTAGGGTACCTGGACGGAAGCTTGCACTTTACAGTACCGTCCATGAATAGGGTCAATCAAACCAAGTCCGCTCCATTTACAATTTGTCATTTTTGGGCGTTCATTAGGAATGTTGTTCTTTCTATTTAATAAATTCATTTTAAAGGGGATAAGAAGTCTTCTGTCAAAAGTAAGTTTTAAAAGCATGCATATACTACTTATGGTGATTAAACAGTATTCAGGTATTAAAGGAAAAGGTAAAGAATAAACTTTCAAGAACGCTCAAAACATAAAAATTGCAACTGTTAACGGCTTCCTTTGGTTCCGCTCCTTTTCGTAAAATGACGACACACAAACGGTGTCTCCGCCATATGGCCAGTTTTGCGGACTCCCACATTGATTTTTGAATGTAAGGAAAATATCAAAGTAGTTGCTTTTGTAATGTCGATGGTTTAATTCAAGTGCTCGCTGTGCCCCGAAATAATCCACGGAGTGAAACTTAAGTTTTTTCCCAAACAGTTAATTAAGAGAGTCGTCATATAACCTTACTGGAAAATTATAACAAAATATTTTTAAAAAAAACTGTTAAGTCATTTGAATTACATTTGTATCAACCGCAATAGAAGTATTTAAGAAAAGACAAAAAGGTTATAATATTTTCTTATAAATTCATTTACTTATATGATTTTGAATGTTTTCTAAATACTTTCAATTACAAAACAGAAATGATTATTTTCACAATGTCATACTTTTTATGTATCAATGTGATTTGAAATTCTATGCCAAGTCACTTGGTATGTTCTATTCAATTAAGTTAACCTACTATAAAGGGATGTTTTAACTAGGCTAGATGTCGATTCATCAGCTGAGAAACAGTTCCTGAATAAACACAAAAATCTATTTCAGTGATCATGATTCTACTCGAAACTACTGAAACTGACAAAAAAAAACAATAAATTAATTTCCTAGCAGATTGTGAAAAGCACGTTATATAACACGTCACTCATTTCAATACTCTCAATATGCGACGACAAAACCATGCTGATATATTGCAGTACGCATCGACTGTGAACATTTTAAACTGTTTGTTAAATCAGTAGGTGATTAATATGCTTTCAGATGATTTTGACCTTTTAACAAATTATGAAAAGTGTAAGCTGTTGGCTGATTATAATTACTATCATTTAATGGGTTCTTGTATTTGCATTACACAAATTATCAAAAAACTACAGATTCATTCGTGTCGTCGGCTACAAATAAACTTACATAAAGTAGCGGACGGACGGATTAGAGGTATTGAGGAGTAACATTATTGTTTACGGCAAATTTTATTTTCCATCTTAATTCTTTTGATTTGATAATTATATAAAGCGATTTATCTGAAACAAACATATTTCACCTTTAGAAAGCTATAGGCCGCTTTAAAGTAAAAAGTATAATATCTTGAAACAACTTAAAACTTAAAATGCAAATGTATCATTCTAAACAATTATACCAAAATTTTCCTTCAAACATGTATACATAACTACAAATAGAACTTGACTAAACATCAGACAATATACGAGTAAAATTTCAATTTTGTAATATTCCAATCCAGAAAAATTCAGCAATGGAACATTTATGCCACCTGCCTTACAATGCATAAAAAAATCATTCAAGTTTTCGTTTCTAGAAGCCGTTGTATAGAAAATTTCAATTGTCATATGTAAATATAAAATACCTTTTTGTATGTTTGTCACTTGCAATTGTACAATATACATTAAATTTGACAATTCGTAGGTAAGGAAAAAACGTATCAAGCACATGAAAAATGATTCATCATTTAATACTTATCGAATTCCCCGACAATGCCTTTTCAAATTTCACTATGATACACATTATACATAAATGCATTAATATAAATATACAAATGGGTTTGGCCAAAAGTTATAATAACATTACTTCACCGACAATAATAAATTAGCTGCGTCACGACAAAACCAACGTAATGCGTTTGCAACCAGCATGCATCAAGACCAGCCTGCGCATCCGCGCAGTCTGATCAAGATTCATGCCGTTCGCTTACCTGCGGACGCGCAGGCTTGTCTGGATCCATGCTGGTCGCAAACCCATTATTTTGGTTTTGTCGTGACACGGCCCAAATAATTACCGTAGAGGCACCTGATGTATTCCTTCAACAAAAATTTATGAAAGTCGCCAAATAACCTTTATAGTGGATTTAAATAAACGAAATCAAACTTATTAACAATTCAGAGTTTTAAATTTTAAGAGGTGCACTTGTTAGACGTGTGCTAATTTCTTTACTAATGCAAATGTAATTATGAAATCATTAGATGCATATTACATTGGAATAAAAATGTAATTAGAGTAAGTTAATGCTAACTCTTACATGTCTTTTAGTAATTACCTTACGCATGAAAATAAAGCGGGAAAGGGCAATGATGCATGTAAACACATAATGTTATTTCAGTTTGATTTGGTATGTTCATAACGACAGATAAAGAAAAGCATATCATCTTTTGAAACACCAGCTTGGGTAGTTACAGGTTGTTAACAAATACTTACGTAAATAAATGCGTCATAAAAATACGAAAAAAATAAACAGTATGTAATAGTTAAATAGATAATGAAAAAATAATTTTAACAACTCAAAAGCAGGACGTAGGAGCGACTGTGACGGTTAAAGATGTTAATTTTTCAAAATTATTGTGTCTTATTGTCAGCGTCGTTGACCTACTTTTTGTATGAAAGCACGGGTAATGCTTGTCCAGATAGACGTGGCGTTTAAATGAATGGTTGAATAAACTCTATGAAGGACAATTTATGCAAAATAGAGCGTCAGGAAATTTTCAAATTTAGGCCTTTTCACTAGAAACAAACTTATTAGAAGAAAAATTGGTGATGTTGAATTTGCTTAAACCACAATGGATGAAAAATAAGAGAAGTTCCTTTGATACTCTGACGATACCATTATAACACAATGGGAAATTTTAAATTAATGTCATCGTTTATTAATTTGTCGTTGAATACACTTGGGATTACTTTCGTTAATAACATCAGCTGTTTTACCCTTGATAATTGACAGTATAGTTTGTTTAAATACAGCCTTTGACTATTTCGGAATAGAGAACAAACATCAATGTAGTGATTTTATCACAACTTATGATGTATAGAAAGCGTAAAACATCGGGATTTACATGTTCTGACAACGTGTGTCTTATCATTTGTGAATATCACAGAATTTAATGTATAAATAAACAGCAATAAGTCCATGTCAGGTTTTTGTTAGAGGTTAATGTCACAATTACTTTTTCTCTTAAAAAAAAAGCAAACAAAAACGATTCTGTAGATATTTTGAGTATCAGTATCAAGTATCTCTGATTTAAGCGTACCAGCTGATCTTTGTAAGAAATCCAAGCTTTATGTTTTAGGCCTTTTGACATAATTTGAGGTCCTTTAACAAGCTAATAAATATTAGATAAGTACTGTCCAGTATATATGTGCATTTAAGTGATTTCTTGAGGAAAGAAACATTTTAATGATCATCGTGATTTATTTATCAACGCTTTTATTATTTTGCTGCAGCTGATCATTCAGAATTGCTGCTAAATTTGTATTTGTTCTTACATAGACTTCGTGCTACTTGAATACTGATATACGTCAAGTTTAGAAAAGGGAAAACGAAAACATAAAAAAGAAATTTGTACGACTGAAACCTTATTTAAGGACATATAGCTGCATTCTATATACACATGTACAAATCATTAAATTGAAATAAATGAAAACCTTAAAGAATGCCCAAAGCGTCAAAAATTGAAGCAAATGCAGACTTGGTTTGAGTGACCATTTTCACAAATTGAAATAAATATGTTCACAATGTCATGTTTTTTTCTGTAACAATGCGATTAAAATGTGAAAGAAATCGGCAATGAATTTGGCATGTCAAATGCGATTTTATTTACTATTATATGGTAGTTTGAGTTAGATTTCAATTCACCTGCTGAGATACATCTCCTTAATACAAACAACTCTTTTCAAGGGAACATTATTTTAGTCGAAGATAAATTAGATAATGAAACTGACAAAAATTATGCCCAGGAAATTCGTCTACATCACGTTATCTGTTCACCATGTGAGAAAAAACTAACACAATATATATTTATATATGGTATTCTATTCAGAACATATAACCTTAAAAGCAATATTATCTATTTATAAAAGGATGGCAGTTGCTTGGCCATGACTGACTTGTAACAAAAACGCATTGCACATGCAATAATATATATTATACAAAATATGTTCAATATAACTTTGATTGAGATTTCCAATATGCCAAAAGAAAGGTTTGTAATATAAATACCAATCAAGAACAATGCCGAATGCTTCTTTAAACACATGAATATGGTACTTGATAAGTGCGCTAGAATGCCAAAGCGCCGGGACAAGACTGCGTCGTAGGACCAAGCCCTGCCAAGGAGTAGCGTCTTATCAACGACAAAAATGCCAAAAATGTACATAAAGGCCCCCTACAGAAACGTAAGGACCCCCCAATTTTTTGTTTTGGAAAAACTTGTGTGTACTCCGGATATCGGAGGTGGCCCCGGAATTCGGACGCCGATAATTGTAGGGAGGCCCGCAGTATTGCGATCAATGGCACATCCCATAAACAATCTGTATAGATATATATATATTCATTTCAACTTGTTCCGGATATCGGTAACTAGATCGGACTTCGATCAACAGCGCCGGAATATTTGGACATTCAATTGTCTCTTCGGACGCCAGAATTTCTAACGACGTAAATCGCCAACTGATAAAATTGTATTTATACTGCATATACAAATTTGTATCTTTCTCCGGACATCGGAGATATTACCGGAATTCGGTAAAGTTTTGAAGTTATATTAATGAAATATTAATATCGTGGATTAATTGCCGGAACTCGGTCGCCGATAATAAGTTAAATGCAAAACTATATGCTATATACTTAATATACTATGTTGAAAGTATCATGCGGAGTCTACGAATGAGACGAAGAGCTAATGTCAGGTTTTATGCCACCGATAGTACGCATATTCTATATATCAAGTTCTTAATTTGAGCTTCATAAATGACAATTGCTTATTCTTTAAATTTGTATCTGTCTATTTTTGAGTTACATTAAAGATTCCAAGCAAGAAGGTCGTCTGCATGTTAAATTGATTATATTCTAGTTTTCTGTCATATGAATTCATTTATTATTATTTTTATTATTCATATTTGCATCATCTCGACCATTATTATCATAGCGGCGTCTATCACAACATAAACAAAGAATTATTATTAATAAATGGTGCCGGAATTCGGTCACCACTAATCTCCTACCAGAGTTTACTGACTTGTTAATAATTCATGATATCAATTATTTTTATTCTTAAGGGTAGCAATCTCTGTTATGTCGCAAAATAGCGACAATACCCTCTTTTAAATCATTGGTGAATATTTCATTACCAAATTCTGACAAATGAACCAAATCCCGAAAAAGAGGCTGGGCTTCCACTATGTCTTGATGTCGAATATAGGCACCGCCAATTGTTTTACAAAATGATTGAAGTGTTGTATTAAAGCGCCTTCGTGCCTTGTTCAACTTAAAGTGGCTACGTTCACCACGGTAAAACATACGTGGAAGAATTTGCGACCAGACAATCTTTATATAAAACCCATTTTGAATACCTAACTGGTGTACATCATTCAATGTGCGTATTGCTAAAAGCTCAGCCTCATTTAAGGGTGTCTGTCCAATATCATTCCCACCACAGTGAATGATAAGCATATCAGGGTATTTCATATATTTCAGTGCTAAGTGCTGTATGGTGTTTGCCAGATGTTGAACCTTCATACCTGACCTAAAATCCCAAACTATTTTGAGATCCAATCCAAGGTTGTGACCCTTGTTTTCGATGGAATAATAGTAGGCATCTCGGATAATCGAAGACCCTATAACCCATACCTCGGGAGGACCTAAAATTAACAATGAAGTTGATTGGTTTATACTCTTATGTAAGACTGATATACATTTGACTTCCAGCGTCCAGCCTGCTTAATTGCTGATTCAGACATACCTTTATTGAACATGTATGTGGCTCCACCCATTCTAAATGATTGTGATTTAAAAATGTTTAGAGGTTGTCCCAAATATTCTAGACATTTGCGTAAAACATGCTTAAACTGGTATTGGGTTAATGGCTTTCCATTTGCATGACATAGATATTGACCTTGAACGGCAGGTCTTTGTCTTTTATAATTTTCTAAAGTACGTTTGAGCAACACGGCGTCTTCACTCTCGAAATTTACCCGTATAGTTTGACCTTTACCCATCTGATCTGTTTTAGATGATTTTATGTGTATTTGAACAAATGAATCATTTGACTGAATTTCGTTGCAGAGAAATGCAGTTTCGCTCACGCGCATTAACCCAAAAAATGCGAGTAAAAAAGCTGTTTTGAAAAGTAATGCTTCATAATCGGACATGCATATAAACACCAAGCTATGTATAATTTGCTTAAGAAGGTGCAAAGTGATTGGCCTGCGAGAGTCTGATCGACTTTGTAATCTGTTCATTCCTTCTAACATTTTTCTTACTATGAAAAATTTAGTATTGTCTTGAAAATTATTCATTTTGTTTACATAGCTAATGGCAGCGATGTGACAGTTTACCGTTTTATATGCATATCCGCCATGTGACATGAACGCTATATATTCTACGATTTCATTTAGACTGGGTGGCCAAACGCTCGGATAGAGCATTGAATTTCTAAATTTTCTAAATGATTCTAATCCCGACTTGTAACATTTGTTTGTATTCTCACTTAAAGACATGTTTAACAGTCGAATTATTTCATGTTGATAAATTGCTGAAAATCAAATGGGATAGAGAGAGGGGTTCTGCTAGCATTTACAGGCAAGCAATTCTGCAGTCTACGGAATTGTAATCTACTTATTGCGTCACATATATCATTTTTCTTCGACACGATGTGAATTGCTTTTATTTGTATATTGTTATAAAGCAATAACAAAACAAGTTTTCGGAGCAGAATCATGACTTTCAGATTTCGCGATGATTTTTTGTTAAGAATCTGCACAAGACTCATGTTGTCACAATTGATGATAATCTTTTTTCCTTTAAGCTTTGATCCCCATGTGTAAAAGGCCAATAGAATAGGGACTAGTTCAAGAAGAGTAATGTCTTTAAATACCTCATTACTCCAAAACATCGGCCATTCAAAAATTATCCATTCCCCGTCCATGTAAGCACCACAGCCTAAATGCCTGTTACCAGCAGCATCTGAATAAAGGTCAAGGTCATGATTTGACGACCAGTATTGATCACTGAATATAGACACACCATTAAAATGATCAAGAAATTGCAGCCAAGTTCTAATATCTTCCTTGTGATCTTTATTCAAGCGAATATAATGGTAAGATCTCTTTGCCTGACACCGTGCAGCGTATAATCTACAGTTAAAAGTACGACCTGCTGGTATTGCTTTCGTGAAAAAAATTAAAATGCCAAGAATGGATTGCAGTTCTCTTAATCTAATTTTAGGTTTGACCAAGGTATCTAATAGCAATGATTTTGCTTTATTTTGCTTTATTTATTTTGTCAAATGGAACTCTTATTTCCATCTTTAAATAATCAATCTCTATGCCTAAACAAGTGATGATTGTATTAGGGCCTTCTGATTTATCTTTATTTATAGGAATATTCATATCTTTACAGATGTACTCAAAATCCAACATGAGGTTTGTGCAATCCTCTGTGCCGGCTTTTCCGGCAAAGAAAAACTCATCTAAATAATGATCTAAGTTTGACGAGTTTGCATATTGAGAAACCGCCCACTGAAGGAATGTTGAAAATTTTTCAAAACAGGCGGGGCTGACTGCACACCCTTGCGGAAGCATTTTTTGAATCCAATACTTGCCATCAAATTTGACACCTAATAAATCGAAATCGTCAGGGTGTACAGGGCAGAGATTGAAGACCGATTTAACATCTCTTTTCCCTCCCCATAAGTGCACCAGGGCCTAAACACTGTATTATTTTTATAACATTGTCAAAACGGGAATATTGAACCATAGTTATTTCACGATCAATAAAATCGTTGACACTAGTTCCATTATAAGGATATGACAAATGAGTTATTAGGCGCATTCCACCTGTACTTTTGGGAACTAGCCCAATTGGATTGATACGTAAGTTTGCAAATGGTTTAATTGTAAAGGCACCTAAAAAGCGTCCTAATTGTACTTCCTTTTCAAGCTTTTTTGCTAAAATTTCCGGGTATCTAATCGCAGACTGCAGATTTTTTGCCGTAAATTCGCAGTGGGGACCACTGTATTGCAGCCTAAACCCCTCCCTGAATCCATGTAATATAAAATTTGCATTCTCCTTATTATAACCTTTGAGCCACATTTCTAGACGCAAAGTATCTATTGGGGTGTTGCCTAGGTCCCAAAGGTGCTCTAGGAGTTTCAAATTGTGGGAAGTGCTCAAACCTGGGATGTCTGAAATGATTTTGGCTGAGATTATTATTAGATCTATAAGCATTTACAAATCCTGGTGTAGGACAGTAGGTGATCTTCAAAGCAAAGCAGAATGCGGCCCGGTACATTTTTTACATTTATGCAAGTACTGACAACCCGGTTTTGAACAAAACCCTTTACCGTTGAACTCATAGCAGTGATTTTGTTTGTTTGATTGATTTGAGCTTAGATTCGTCATAGATACCAACCATATCTCAGCATCAATATTTGACTATTTTGTATTTGGATATTGTGACATTTTATATCTGAAATATTTGTCATATTTTATCCAGCCAATCGGATATATATATTAGAAAGGCATCAGTCCATTGTTCAATTGACAAAACAGTATGTTTAATAGATCTAGAACTATCAGACAAGACTAGTACGCCAGTTACAACTTTAAAGATTTTACTTTGAGCGGAGGAATCTTTTTCTAATAAGCATGTTAAATCAACAAATTCTCCACTCAATATTCTTTCTTTTGTACTAGCGTTTACATGCAAAGCCATATCAGTTACTACCGAATTGAAAACATTTTCATTACCTGATGTTTCATGTACCATCGGGGGCTGCCCAACCACAGGTGACTCGAACATTCCTCCAGCAGGAGACATCTGCAAGCCTTGTGAAGTTGAAGCAAATCCTTCCGATACCGAGGCCGTTGAAGGAACAGCTCCCTGACAATGCTGTGTATATGGCACTTGCATTGAATTTGAAGGATAGAGCGACTGTTGTCCCAACATCCCTGGGACATGGGTATGTGTTACTGGTACAACTGAGGCTGGTACTACACAATTAGCCAGCTGCGAGTAATGACCTTGATTCTGTACAGATGACGTATTCACTGAATTTGAATGATAGAGCGACTGTTGTCCCAACACCCCTGGGGCATGGGTATGTGACGAGTAATGACATTGGTTCTGTACAGATGACGTATTCACATAATCGTTCTGATTAGTGTGATAGTACTGATTGATTTGACCTTGGTCCTGAGTTACTGCTGCATAATTTGTTGTTGTTGCATTAGACTGAACTACAGCCGGCTGCTCTACAATGGGTTGCATGGAGACTTCAATCTGATGGGACCGTCTCCCTCTAGATCTTGTGGCTGACCTAGTCTGCCCTCGCGTCTTCCATGTAGATTTACAGTTCCTCTTAGGCCGAGGCATTTTCTCAAGAAATAAAAAATTAGATTTAATAAGTAGATTATTAACTATCAGTCAATATAGATATAGCGGCTAAAAGAAAATGCAATGTCGAATATATTTTATCTCCGTTAATAGATAGAGAGCCTCCAGACTAAACCTACTGTAACATGTACTTCTATATCTAGCATTCCTGCTGATCAAGTATCAATAATTATTGTTATTTACAGTACACAACAAGATCAAGATATAATTTATGAAATTAGTAGATATTCAATATTAATTAAATCTACCATTAAAAGTAGAACGAAATCTTATTCAATAAATAAATCTTAAATCAATTTTAAATTAATTTGTAAGAAAAAGCAAAATGTCGACCTTCCTGCTTGAATTCCTCGAGGAAAAGGATTGAAAACGCGCAAGGTCTCGATGACATCAGATTTAATTATGACGTCACGCACAACACGTGGTTGAAGCAACAAGACCGGACGAGTTCTCTCCCTTTAATGGGGACCAGATAACTGCATTCATTTAAAGACGAGCTGTAAATGAATGGATTTATATTAAACGTCATGTGTTCTTAAACTCTCAATATGCGACAAAATCATGCTGCTATACTGCAGACATTTTCACACAAAAAACTTACGACAAATTTTTATCGAAAGAGAAATTTTACCATAAATCTCCTTTTCACAAAATATCTTAAGAAAATCTTAAGTGTAAAATCTGTCGTAACTTTACGATAGGTGTTACCCATTCGTAAGTGTATTTCTTTCTCTCTTAATAGTAAAATATCATAATCTTTTATCTAAACCGAACAAAAACAAACAAAAATGGAAGGACAAATATATATTAAGCAAACAATATGTTATATAAACAACAAAAGTTAAGTAAATATAGTAATATTTCAACATTAACATTTCTGACGTCATGACTTGATGAAGTCATTTTGGAGAGGGTGATGAATAGTTTAAATGTGAGCTATACTGTGCAAAGTATAGAATTCTTGAAAACTAATAATTTGTTTAATTTTGCGGGTTCGATTTCATTCCAAGCATGAACTGGTGGCACCATTTTATTTATTTATACCTTAGCAAAAACGTAGCAGACTGTTTATGAATCACTTTCATACCCATATATTATTATTTTCGAAAAAGATTGAAATATATCAGTTTGAATCATTTTTTTTTTTCTTTTCATTGTAACTTGATTGTGCTCAATATACCTAATTACAAGCACTTTATTACTTGATTTTAAAATCCGAATCAAATATAGAGCCTGCACATCAATATCAAATGACGTTGCTAGGGATGTTTTTATGGTAAGATTTATCGTAAGTGAACTTTTTATCTAAAGATAAAATTACGTGTGGCTTTGTGAAAATGACTTAAGATTTAACTTACGATTATCGTAAGTCACAAACTTAAGATAAATCGTAAGACTGTTTGTGAAAATGTCTGCTGGTGCGCATATTCGCGTTGATTATTGCAATTGTTTGTTTATTTGCCAGGTAATTATATGCATTCAGATGAATTTGACCTTAAATACAACTAATGCAAACTTATTGTTATTTTTATTATTATTATTATTATTATTATTATTATTATTATTATTATTATAATTATTATTATTATTATTTATATTTTCATTATTACTATTATTATTGTATAATTATTTTGTTTATTATTATTATTATGTTTATTATTATTATTATTATCGTTATTCTTATGATTATTATTATTTTTATTATTATTATTATTATTATTATTATTATTACTTTTTTATTATTATTATTAATATTATAACTATCATTCTTATAATTGTTATTATTATTATTATTATTATTATTTTTTATTATTATAATTATTATTATTATTATTATTATTATTTATATTTTCATTATAACTATAATTATTTTTATAATTATTTTGTTTATTATTATTACTATGTTTATTATCATTATTATTATCGTTATTTCTTATGATTATTATTATTATTATTATTATTTTTATTATCATCATTATTTTTATTATTAGTATTATTATTATTATTATTATTATTATTGAAGGTTCTTTTGTTTAATATATCGTATTCTATTAAGTTAGCCTCAAAAATCCATTCAAATTCAAGCAGTTATAGATAATGCTGCAGTTCACTCGTGACCTAATTGTGGAACAAAATGTTTGAAATAAAGCAAATTTGAGTAACATTGCCTTACAATGATAGGAAAAAGAACTAATTAAATGGTATCAAGCTATATCTAATGATTGTTTATATGAATTTTTAAACAGTAAGATTACGTTTTTACGTAAAATAATAATCGATTCTCGAAAATGTTGTTAACCTAGTGTTTTCAGATGCTTTTTATATTTCACATTTTCTACAATAAGGTTCGCGTGTTCTTTGTGTACATCACGCTGTAGTTGATGTTAAAAGACATTAAAAGTTTTAGTTTAATTGCCTTTACATTTATAGGAAGAACTAATTTACAATCAATTTAATATATCTTACCTAAGTTAAATAAAATACAATCTTGAGACAGCAACAAACTTCATATTGAAATGAACATTTCTAAATGCAATACCAAAACCTGCCTTTGAAAATGTAAAGATAATTACAAATTGAACATAATCGAACATGAGTAAGAATTCAATAATGTACTATTACAATACAGAAATATTCAGTAATGGAATATTTTATGTAATGTTTATAATTTATATCTTAATTCTGTCAAATCGCATTTTCTTTGCATCGTAATATCATTAAAGTGACTATATGTCCATGCAAGAGTAAATGGTGTATAAACAGGTAAAAATCAAAATGAGTTTAAAAATTAAATTAAATTAAATGAGTCAAAAATTAGTTTTTGAAATAGTTACGATGCTCATTTTTTTTTATTTCACTATGCAAACAAATGATCAATAATCCACGTGATCTATGCAAATTTATGTAATGTAAATTTAACACAAAAATGCATATACCGGTATTAATGTTTCCAGCTGTTCATACTCTTTGAGATAGTGCTTACTAAGAGAGTGTCTTAAAAAGCTTCTCTTCTCAATCCGTGCATTTTTTGTCAATTATAATGTAAATGTTTTTAAATAAAATATTGTTTGAACTAAACGAACATGCAATTGTGTTATTTAATATTAATCAAGTTATTGCGTATGGTTAAAACCACGATGGCTTACGTGTCATATTTGCTAGACCGTACTTCACTTCAGTGTTGCTATATTTTTCTGGTCCTTCGGGATCGTTGATGCCAGCACTATTAAGTGTTGACAATGGAGTACCTCTCAAGCAGGTGCTAGGGGGCGTGAGGAATGTTGCACTTATTCATTTTCTCTCATGTACAGACTCAATCTAACCGACTCTGCAATGTTCATGTTATTTTGTTGTGATTAATGCTTCGGAGGGATCACTTTGTTTCAAGATTTTTAAATGTTTGAAGAAAAGACTATATATATTCTTAATAAATATTTAACTAAACGATAACAATTTAAAATGGAAAGAATTGCGACAGGCGTCTTTATCTATTGATTATACAAGAAATTCTATAAATCAGAATAGGAAACTGATAACGAAGTATTGTTGTAACTCTGTAATAAATAAATATTTGCATGTACATAATGTTAAAAATGTAACAAAACTCGGTACTTTTTATAGAATTATGTTTCGAAAAATTAATTATCTGTGATGTTATGATTTAATGACATGAAGAAAAATGCATTACGTTACGCTGCAAAAATCATTACAACAGATATGGAAATTTTGTTTATTGAAATACTTTGCTCTTGCTACAAACTTCCTTTTTAAAGAGTTAAAGTAAGATTTCCAGCTCGTGAAAATATATGAACATTTATTATGTTTCGTGAAAATATTCAACATTTCACTCAAACGAAAAACATTTTAATATTTCGTTAAAACTACACAAATCGTCGCTGTCGTCGTTGTATCATCATCATTATCATAGTAATAATCATTGTCACTGGTATAGATCACGATCTTTTTTAACTACCATAAGAAAAAAAGAATTCTAGATTTATTTATGGTGAGACCATTTAGACCATTTGCATATACGAGTAAATAATCCATTTATTTAGCGTTTACATTGTAAAATAAGCAAAGTTATGGACTGGCTTGAATCTTAATTTATTGTCCTTATATGTGTTTAAATAAACAAAGTACATGTACTAGTATTCAAAATAGATACTATGACTATGTTCGCTATTTACATTCATTTAGATATTTGCAATTTTTAATATTTCATCCATGCAAGCAACATTTTCAAGTTTGAATCTTGAGAGTATACTTACACTCTGAAACAACACGTTGCTGTAACCTGAAAAAAATGAGGGAGGGTTTTGAGAAGAAGCTCGGCCAGAATATTAGCTTTGACTGATTAAGGTGTTTAAAATATCTGATTTCCATTTGCAGCCTTTGCTGCACAATCGTCAGACTCTTTTGTTTTATAAACAGTCGTTTTCCCTCAGATATACTTATCTATTTTTGCAGTTTCTATTTTAAGTTTTTACCTTTCAAAAGTAATCATGTCAGTTACATAGGAACTTTCAGCATTTGCAATTCTTCTTGATTTACGTTTTGTAACGGCCATTTCTCCCTGCTTTATTTAACACACTGTTAAACGCAATTATAACAAAAGCTTCGAGATACTAACCCCTGCACGACAGCTGTCATGTTGCTATTTTCTCAAATGATAACGTCACACTAGAAAAAAGCCTATTATCTCTATATAAGACCCTGGAATATACAGAGCTGATGAACCTGTATGTCAGCCACCATATTGGTATTTTTCTCAATTGATTATGTCACAATGGGAAACAGGAAAACACCCTCTTACGTGCAAAAATGTATCAAAAATAGGTTATCAGAATGATTACGTCACAATAAAAAACACCCTCTTGTGTACAAAAATAGGTTGTCAGAGCGGTTGAAGACAGGCAAGAACGCATCCATATCAATTGCGATATTGCCCAAAATAAGGCGATATTAACTTATTATTTCAGTTTGTTATTATGTTATCACGATGATTTCAATTTGTATTTATGAATAACATTTTTTTACTTTACTTTGTCTTACAAGATTTTACCAAAGCTTATGATAACACTAACAGTAACAATCTCACTCACAAAAATGTAGGGAAAGGCGATCCAATCTTAAGCAATGAATCCGATAGAAATATTGCAGATTTCAATTTGATTGATTATGTTCAAGATATCTTACAAACCATAGCACCTACTTTAGCAGTTACCGTTCTTAAACAAACAAAAATGTTCTTGAATAAATTTGTCACAAAGGACAAGAAATAATTTGAAAATAAGTAAGCAAATTAAACAGCTAAAAAGGAGTGGCGTAGAAGCGACTGTTGCTGTTTATAATGTTGAGTTGTTGTTTTTTCTTCTTTCTTTTACATTTAATTGTCGTCGTTAACCAAGTTTTCGAAGGCACAGGTCATGTTTGTCACGATACCGGTAGACGCGAAGATTAAAGGATAAGTTATTATATAAAAGCTATTTACGACAGAGTTTATGC